TCTTTATTTATAAAAAATAAACAAATATTTTCTGTGAAATTCAGTAATTAAGTTAATTCTGTAAAAGTAGTTATACCATTATAATCTTGACTGCTGAAAAAAACCCCGAACAATAGAACCCCTCCCAAAACACAATAACAAATGTAATGAATTTCAGGGTTATAATGGGAATTGTATTGGTTTTAATGTAAACTATAACAGTGTCTATTTAATGGATTCTATTGGTGGGATGTAATCTGGCAGATGGCAACCAATAGAACAACAGTAATTCCTATTGGAGTAATGCCCAAAACAAAAAGGAATTTTGTAATGGTTTAATGGAAACTATAAGAATTTCTGTGATGGTTTCTATTGTTTTTTTTCAGCAGGGTAATGATACCCATACTGTGCTGCACATTATTGGCAATATTGAGCTGAAGCTTGACTTTGCAAATTTAAAATCGCAAATCAAATCGCAATCGCAATATCTGTCAAAAAAATTGCAATTTGATATTTTCCCCCAAATCGCACAGCCCTACTTTATATTGGATTTCACTGAAAATGTCTTTATCTGTGTTCCAAAAAGTCATGTTTGAGTAAATTATCACAAAAATGTCAAGTTTGGGTGAACTAACCCAATGGCATGGTAGTGTAGGCAGGACAGATAACACTGATAACTTATCATCCATATTTCCCTACTAATATTGTTTTTATTTGGTTTTATACAGGTGTCTGATGTTGATGCAGTCTGGGCACTGGTATCTGTTGGGTTGCTGACTATCATTGAAGATGAAGTACTTCTCCAAATCTTCTCTGCCTTGACCCTGTGTCTTTTACCATCATTGTTCAGGGTAGTACTGCAAAGAACAGTCTCCAGGGTCTACCTCAGCCATTTGCTTCCGGACTGCCATGTGCTATGTTTGGATCACTGGTACAGTACATTTGGATTACCCTAATACTGTGAAGAACACTTATGGCGCTTTTCCACTGCATGGTACGGCTCGGTAGGTTCACTTTTTGGGGGTTTTCCACTGGGTACAGTACCTGGTACCTGGTACTTTTTTTAGTACCACCTCGGTTGGGGTTCCAAGCGTACCGTACCGTTACCAAAACGTGACGTGTAAACTGTGCTGATCACGGATTGGCCGGAGAGAATCGTCACTACCTGCGTCACTGAAGTTGCAACCCAAACACAACAGAACCGCTAGATTTAAATCAGCACAGCCAGTGAAGGATCGAACGCAACTGTTTTGAATGAGCGCTCCTTTTTTTAACAACCAAAAAGTGGCTGTTCCCCCTGTTGCGGAAGTACAGACGTTCCTCTCGTTGAGAGCAGAGGAGCGGATCCAGCGAGAGCTTAATGGGGCGAAGCGGAATGAAAAAGTTTTTCAGGAGTCGCGGCAATAGAGGCGGCGCAACTATAACGACATGTGAATAATCCTGCCTATTCTAAAGCGATACTAAACTGCAGTGGAAACTCAAACCGAGCCGAACCGAGCCGTGCCGTACCACGCAGTGGAAAAGCGCCATTACAGTGTGATAAAAAAACATTGGAAACATGTGCGGCCAACCCAGTGCCATACTTATTAATTGTACTGCTACCTCCACTGTTTACAAGAAGCATACCCTAAATAAGATTGTTTTTGCTTTGTTTCAAAATGTTTGTAATACAAGTTAAAACTGCACTGAGAAAAAAAAAAACTAAAAACATTACCTTTAACTTTGAACATGTGCTATGTTTGGATCACTGGTACAGTACATTTGGATTACCCTAATACTGTGAAGAACACTTACAGTGTGATGCTTGACTTGGGACGGGAAAAACATTGGAAACATGTGCGGCCAACCCAGTGCCATACTTATTAATTGTACTGCTACCTCCACTGTTTACAAGAAGCATACCCTAAATAAGATTGTTTTTGCTTTGTTTCAAAATGTTTGTAATACAAGTTAAAACTGCACTGAGAAAAAAAAAAACTAAAAACATTACCTTTAACTTTGAACTTTCAACTACCTTAAATTGAGGTGTAATTGTATGTGTGTGTGATGAATGGAACAT